GCGGGTGGCTGGCTCATGGCATGCCAGGTGCAGGGTCTGCTGGCTGGGTGCTGGCAGGCTTGCACCTGGCACGGGCACTGTAGCCAGCCCGTGCTCCTTTAAGGGGTCCGGGTCCGGGAGGGGGGCATAGTGTTTCCCTGGTGTTGGCCAGAGTGGCCACCAGGGAAACCTGGGGAGGGCTAGCCTCCCACTAGTTCGAATTAAGGGGCTACACACCCCTTAATTCGAACTAGTAAGTTCGGACTAGGCTTAATCCTCATAAAATGAGGTTTTCCTAGTTCGAACTAAGCGCTCCGCTAGTTTGATTCAAATTCGAACTAGCGGAGCGCTAGTGTAGCGCCTATGAATGTTAGTTCGAACTAACGTCCGTTAGTTCGAACTAACATTGTAGTGCAGACATACCCCATGTGTGTTAGTTTCCTTATAGATACATAATGACACTGACCATCCGTAATAACACTAGTTGAGCTCTGTGGACGAAAAGCCCTCTCCTAAAGCTAGTGATTATTAATAGTCGCTTTTTGAAAGAATGATGTCCCCAATAAACATACATACAGAACGTTTCAGTAAGATTTGGTGATCTTTGCAATAAGCAAAAGGGCCATTTCTGTGCGTATCTGTTTGTTTTTCCTGCACAGCCCACATTGGAGTAATTATTCTGAATTGCTCTGGGGAAACACAGCCCCATGGCAATCTGTATATTAGGCTGGAAACTCATCTTAGCTTAACCCCTCTTACGCACTCAGCAGATGAACTGTGATTGCCGTAAGGGATGCGTACAGGATGTGGAGACTGTGGTAGAGTGGGAAACACCCCAAGTACTGTTACACAGCAGATCCATAATTTCACAAGATTTCTAAGCAGAATCTTCCTCTAGCAAGAGGGCGTTGGAGAAGAGGAGCAGCAGCCAGACCCAGCATGTGAGCATGTACGTAGCTGCCAAAACTGTTAGCTACTTAATGTGTTGAAACAACAATAAGTCCTGTGACACCTTATAGACTTAACAGATTTGTTGGAGCATAAGCTTTTGTGGGCAAAGACTCAGTTTGTCAGATGCATGTCGTGGCAATTCCAGAGGCAGGTGTAAATATACAGGCACATGAAAAGAAGGGAGTACCAATCAAGAGGAAGGCCGGAGATAAAGAGGTCAATTCAGCCAGGGAGGATGTGTCCCACTTCCAGCAGCTGATGTGGTGGCGTGAACACGGAGAGAAGAGAAACTGCTTTTGTAGCTGGCTGGCCATTCACAGTCTTTGTTCAATCCTAAATTGATTGTGTCAAATTTGCAAATGAATTGTAGCTCTGTGGTTTCTCTGTGAAGTCTTTTAATGTGCTAAGCAAGGAACTGAAGGAGATGTGCCAGTGCTAGTGAAGCCAATGAAACAAATTGCCCTTCAATTCTACTATAACCCATTTGTCCCCTTACGGAGCAGTTAGCTCATTCAGGTTGCCTCTTCTTTTTTTAATTTATTTTGATTACACTCAGAAAGGAACCTCTGCTTTGCCTGGCACTGCACTGAGACTGCTTTACATTTGAAAAATATTTTTTCCTATTGACAAGTTTCAATATAGATAGACAGAGAGACAGACAGACAAGGTGTGGGGATGGAGAGAGCGAGCGAATGAACGATATGGATGGATGGGTGGATAGATGGATAGGTAGACAGACAGACAGACAGATAGATGCAATGTTGCATTCTTGCAGTGCCCAATGCCTGCTATTTAAAATGAAATCAAAATATCTTAATTGCCTGTAGTGCATGTGGTATAATGGAGAGACACACAGTCTGTGTTCCAGTTGTCAAGATGCTAGTTTTCATAGACCTACTACGTGCTGAGAAGGACGAATTCTGCCAGTGTGTTTTTCACATGCCCCATGTGTGTATGAAGATGGGAATACAATCTTCAGTAACCGTTACATTTTGGAAGGAGGACCATTTGATCGGGCATGGTGAAAGGAACATTGGCTTAGATCCTCCCATTGTATAAATTATTGTAACTTCAAATACGTCAACTGCGAGATTGTAATTTACATAAATCGTAGAGCTGTCCCCTGGCTGTTTACTGTAATACCTAGCACCTCTACCAGTTCCTTTCCCAGCATAGTGTCACCCTTTAAGAATACTTTAAAGGAGAGAATTTGAAAGTCCCAAGGAAAACGTAGGTATCCAACTTCAGCTGGAGTCAGCGGAAGTCGGGCATCTAACCCTGCGTCTTTCAAAATCGCCCTCGATTTCCTTCTAGACACAGTTAAAAGCATTTTTACCAGCTATTATGATTGAATCCTGGATCTACCATTATTCGGTGTTTTCCTGATGCTGCAGCTCATAGAGTCATAACAATAGGGTTTCCATTGGAGAGGGAAAAAGTTTTTTCTAGCTTCACAGTTTCACAGAAAAAGCTGGAAAGTGTGACAGCAGTGTAATGCAAATACTCAACCCCTCTCCCCAATGCCCCCCCCTCCCGAGGGCAAGGAAACAGATCTTAAGATGTGTTAATCTAAAGAGTTTGGTAAGTCTTGGGGAGCCGACTGGTGATTGTTTCTGTTTTTGAGGTGGGTGCTGCTGTAGTTGTCACCCCTGTTTAACCCCCACTGGTTTGGAAATTAGTTTGAGAACCATTGTCTGGTTGTGGACTGGCTTGTTTGACATAGGCAAATGACTGAGATAATCCCATTTGCAGTTGCTGTAAGTGACAGTGCTTCCCAGGGAGTGGGTCTCTGCATGACCAGTGCCCTTATTGCCTGGCATGTTGAAGGCAGCTGGAATTTCATCATTTATTTTAATGTGACCACAAAGACCTCTTTAGATCAGGTCAGATTGTTTTTCTTCAGAAAATATTGACAAAGCAATTTAAAAAAAAACTGTTTCTGTTTCTGTGGAGATTTTCCACTGAACATTTTGAATTTTCTTCCAAAACAAAATCAAATTCTGAAATATTTCTGCCAAACATTGAAATATTTTGATTAAAAACTGATAATGCTTCTGAAATGTCATCCATGTGCCTTGTGGAAGTTGTAGTTTGATGGCCTCTTTCTCTTCGGTAGGCTGGACTCCCTGAAAGGACAGGGAGTGGTCCTGGAGCACCTTAGGCTGTGTCCAGACTCAGGGGTTTTTTCGAAAAAAGTAGCCTTTTTTCGAAAAAACCTCACCTGCGTCTAGACTGCAGCCGCGTTCTTTCGAAATTAAATTGAAAGAATGCGGCTTTTCTTTCGATGGCGGTAAACCTCATTTCACGAGGAAGAACGCCTTCTTTCGAAAGTTCCTCTTTCGAAAGAAGGCGTTCTTCAATGTAAATAGGGCTTCTTCAAAAGAGAGCATCCAGACTCACTGGATGCTTTCTTTCGAAAAAGCAAGCCGCTTTTTCAAAAGTTCAACGTGCAGTCTAGACGCTCTCTTTCGAAAGAGGCTTGCAGTCTAGACATAGCCTCAGAGACCAACAAATATATATATATAGCATCACGCACTCTTCATGGGCAACACCCACTTCCTCATATGAGCAGAGTCATTATTTTCGAAGTTACAGATTAACATGACTACCCCTCTGAAAGGACGGAGTCACTCATGGGTCCCTCATGAGAGGTGAAGTCCAGCAGAGGTGCTGAGCTAACACTGGAATGTAGAAGCATGAGGTGCCTGAATGAAAACTCCCATGAGGCCCTGCGGCAGCCTTTCAGGATCAAAATATTTTAATTTTGGTCTCAGCTTCTGCAGAAAACTGGATTTTGACAGGATTGAGGGCTTTCAAAACCTTGAGGGGAAAAAAATTAAAGTTTTCTGCAGAGTTCAGCCACTTTGAAAGGGCACTTGCATGATGTTGAAATCCTATTTGGCCCTAAAAACACATCTGGCAAACAGTGGATGGGGCTTCTATCAGTAACATGTGCCTGTATCGGTGTGGCTTCTCCCTCCCCTTCAGTGAAACCAGCTATGAAGGTACAAGCAGCGTTTGTAGATAGAATAGAGAAATTTGCCAGCTCAGCTATGTCCGTCAGGGCTCACGCCTCACCGTATATCTGGTCCCTCAGGGCTGTGCTGGTTGAACTGTGCAGTATACAACAGGCCTTGAGTGCAGACTAGGCCTTGAGTGCAGGAGTAAAAGTGCCATGGTGAGCATCCTGTTGACCTCAATTGGGCCACTCACTGTTTAAGCGTAAACCAGCCAAGACTCAAACTACGAATTGAACTCAGATTTTTTTCCCCAATGAGAATAAGGGTGGAGCCCTTATTCTGCTGCTAGGAATTGTTCAGATATCGCGGTTCTCATCTCACGCTGCTTGGCTGACGGTGCAGACAAAATCCAGCCCTCAGGGACTATGCAGGGACTATTGTTCACTGTGTGTTATGAGAAAAACAGCCCCACTGTTCACTGTGTGTTATGAGAAAAACAGCGAGGAGTCCTGTGGCACCATAAAGACTAACACATTTGTTTGGGTAGAAGTGTTGGTGGGCTGGA